CGGCGCTTCGGCTGCATGGTGTGTCGCTGGATCGCCCGGGACCTCAGCAGCCTCAGGGGGCTCCTGGACCGGCACGGCGTGCGCCTGGTCGGCGTGGGGCCCGAGGCACTGGGCTTGCAGGAGTTCCTGGACGGCGGCTACTTCGCGGGAGGTGCGTCCTCTTCCCGCCCCGTAATGGCCTGAGGAGACCCTTCCCCAGACTCTGGGCGCTGGGCCGGCCCTTCTTTGCCCAGCCCCAGCCCTGGACAAAGGTCTGAGCCCTTCTCTGTCCAGGAGCGGCCTTGATGTGCGCCTCCCTCTGCCTCCCCATCCCCCAGCTGGCAGCCAAGTCGTGCCCCCGCAGAGCCGTGGCCTAGCGGCAGAGTCTGGACGAGCCCCGCCACTCCCGCTGCACCTGTCACCTTTGGGTCTCAGCCCCTCCTCTGAACAGTGGGGACACGGAGCCCTGCACTGCCCCTCCCGGCCCTGGGTGGTTGAGCTGGGCGCTGTATGTGGATGTAGGAGGGTGACCTGGGTCGTGGAGGAGTGGGGACTGGGCCTGGGGTACACACCTGTGGCTTTGCTTTCCAGAGCTGTACCTGGATGAGAGCAAACAGCTCTATAAAGAACTGGGCTTTAAGCGGTGAGTGCGTGTGTTGGGGGGCACTCATGGGGATGGCATGGGACTGGGGGCAGGACCAACCTGAGCTGGCAGAGGGACCCAAGGGCATTCTCTGCTCCCTTATTCCTCTTCTTCCTGCCACCCTCTGCTCCGCTGTTCACTCAGGCTGCCCGAGCAAGCTGGCTCTGGTGGCCTCGACTGCTTTTGTTGGGTTTTCTCTCGGGTGTTGGGTGTCTTCAACCAGCCTTCTTACCCAGGTCATACCCTTAACAGGCTGCAGTGCCCAGGCCTCCAGAGGGGTTAGAGCCTACTGCCCCCATCCAGGGCCGTCGCAGCCTTCTGGTGTCAGTATCCCGGGCTGGGTGTGCCCAGGAATCTGGCTCAGCTGGCGCTGCCAATTATGGGTTAGGGTTAGGGTCTTCCATTCTGCACTCTCTATGTGGCCCCAGGCCATCCAGTCCTTAGGCTGGGTGCCCAACCTGTCCCTGGGGGCAGGAGGTCCTTCTAGGGGTTGGACTTGCGCCTGATCTGGTCTGCTGCTGCTATCTCTCAGCTCCTGGTGAGATGGGTGGGCGGGGCCTGATCTGGGAACTGGTCTGTGCATCTTGTGGAGACCGGGGGCAGGTTCTGGGGACCAGACTTTACCAAAGAGCCTGGACCAATGAGCAGATGTCTTCACAGGTACAACAGCTTGAGTATCCTGCCAGCTGCCGTGGGGAAGCCCGTGCGAGATGTGGCCGCCAAGGTGGTACAAGACCAGGGGGTGGTGGGAGCCCCTGGGAGGCTTCCCTCTAGGGCTGACTTGGGCCCTGCTCCCCTCTCTCCAGGCCAAGGCTGTTGGCATTCAGGGGAACCTGTCGGGGGACCTGCTGCAGAGTGGAGGGCTGCTGGTGGTCGGCAAAGGTGTGTCTCATCATAGCTCCTCCCCTGTGGTGTGGCCTTGCTCTGAGTGTCAGCTTGGCTGGGTGGGCAGAACAGCGCACGTCTTAGTAACCTGGGGGTCATGGCCGTCCAGGGCTGCCAGGTTCAGCCAGCAGGCTGGCCCACCATCCCTCCTCCCAGCACACGGGTGCAAAGTACAGGTGGCCTCCCAGGGTGCCCTGATCACCTGCCTGCTCCTACAGGTGGTGACAAAGTGCTGCTGCACTTTGTCCAGAAGTCCCCGGGTGACTATGTTCCCCAAGAGAACATTCTGCAGGCCTTGGGCATCTCTGCAGAGGTCTCTGCCAGTGAGCCGCCCCAGGTGAGCTTGGGCTTGGGGTGGGCACTGCCTGCTATAGACAACCCCATTCCCACCAAACTCCCCTGTGCTGAGCCCTTGGCTTTATGTCATTTTGTACTAACGGCAGCCCTGCAATTCACATGTCACTCTGACCCCACTTTGCAGAGGGAGAGCAGTCTGAGAGGGGCCAAGGGGCAGGGTAGCTGGGTGGGCAGGCACAGCAAAGGCCCTCCCCAATGGGTGGGGGCTGCACAGAGGGCTGTGGGGCAGGGAGAGGCTTGTCCTCTCAGCCTCAGGAGGCCTAGGATCTGTCTGAGGTGGCCCTGGTGGCAGACCTCCTGCACATCAGAAGGAGGAGAGTGACGGATCAGACTGCCTCCTGTGTCCAGCACACCCCTTCCCTGTTTGGGTGGGTGGGCTCAGCTGCTCTTGGTTCCTGACGGACCCCCTGCTGCCTGTGCAGTGTGACGAGGAGGTGTGTGGGAGGTGAAGACCTTCGAGGATCTGGGTGGACCTACTGCCTGGGTGTCCTGGGAGTCAGACTGAAGAATTGTCTGGAGTCGCAGTGGGCCGAGACTGAACCTAGCCTGCTCTGCCAGCAACAATGAGCCATTAAACCGCTGTTCCTGGGCAGTGCGTTTCTTCTCTGACTCAGTCCTGCGTCCTTGCAGCCCCCTCTCACTCACTGTTAGGGCCAGCGGGGCAGTGGTGGGTCCTGAGGCCTAATCTTCCCTGCTACGAAAGTCACTGTCCCTGGGAGGGGACACGCCCTGCAGTCTCTCTGCAGACCTCAGGGCTTTGGCACGTGGGCACTGGGCACTGTAACCTCACTGTCCTGGCATTTCCTTCCAAGGTGACTTCATGTTCTAGCTCCACAACGGGACTTAGGACAGGGAGGCAGGTCCAGGATGGGGGACGGGGGTTCAGTTGGGCTCTGTCCCTAGGCCCTAGATGGGAACCTGGCCTGGGGGGCTGGAGGGTCACTGTTCATGTCTGGTGGCAGCCATGAGGGGGTTTTTGGGTTTTCAGGGAGATGACTGACCACCTGGTGGATTCTGGTGAACCAAATCAGACTTTCAGAAGATGGGCCAGTCTGCTGGAAGGACCCCTGCTGATGTGACAGTGGTCATTCACACCCTGCTGGGGCAGCTGGCCTGGAAGAACAGTGTCCAGCTCCCTGGACACCTTCCCTGGGTTGCCCTAACAGGTCCAGAGCAGAACTTCTGATGCCCCTCAAACCCCACTTCAGGTCTCCCTCTCAAAGGCTGTCATATGGGGGTTCTGATGACCAACCCAGCACCTCCCTAGTACAAGCCTGGTGACCACAGGGACCTCCTTGCTGGCTCCCAGCCCCCAACTTCCCCAGTACATTCTCCTCTCAGTGGTCCCTTAAAAATGCAGAGCGGGTGACGTCCCTTTGTGGTCTAAGCCCTCCTCTGGGTTCCAGTCACACAAAACTAAGATTCCAGGTTCTCAGGTGTGGTCACCAAGTCCCATGGACCCGCCTCCCAACCTTGGCTCCTTCTGGAGTCCCCCGACCCCATCCCCCTGTCTGGACGTGTGGTCTCTGAAGATGGGCATCTGGGGGAACTGGCCACTGTCGTGTCCAGCACTAGGACCCTAAGGGACTTGTCAGGGGCACCCGTCCTGCCCCACTAGCTCCCTGCAGTAACTGCCCAAGGCCACTGCCACTGTCCGGCCACGGGGCCCTCCTCCAAGAACAAGGATGCCAACTTCGTTGAAGCGTTTTCTTGGCTTGAGTCTGAAGCTCGTGGACATTTGAGGACAAGACGCTCTGGAGAGTGGGCGGGAGACAGTCGCGTCTGCAGGGCTGCAAAGGGGGCGCCCACCCCAGTGGGGAGCGCAGAGGGGGCGCGGGCCGGGCACGCTCGCCCCCTGCTGTCGCCGCGCCGCGCTCTAGGGCGGGGCGCGGGTCGTACGCGGGTCCCGCCGGCT